TCTTCCTTCTCTCATGATCTCTAGGACTCTTACAAACAGCACTGCCCTATGTATCCTCTTTCAGATCTCCTTGGGCACCTATGACAAGATCTTCTCAAGGAGCCAGCCCTGTAGTGCAGTGGATTAGCACTGTGCCTTGAGAGCTGGATCCCACATGGCCATCTATGGTTCAAGTCCCAGATTCAGCAGTCTGAGAAACACAACTAGCATGTGTGAATGTATGCCACAAATCCTGATGGGGAGCAGAAATGAAGAAAATGGGTTGCGGCATGACCACTTCCCATTCAGGAGAAAAAAATTCAGGGGTGCTTTCTTGCGCACGCTCTTTCTGTCTCTTGATGAGTTGACATGCCCTCTGACAAAAACAAAATAAAACCAGCCCCCCACCCCCAAATCAGATAAACCAGTGTTTCTGTAGAGTGACACTTAAGACTGTGCACATTCAGCTCTATCGGGTATTGTCAAATTGCTCTCTAAAGTGGTAAGACCAATTTGCTCTCACATCAGTAATTTATAAAAGACCAGTTCTGCCAAATACCTACCCTAGTGTATGGCAGTACTATCCTTTTTTTCTTTTTCTTTTTTTTTTCTTTATTCCTTTCCTTTTTTTTTTTTCCCCAGTGTGACAGGTGTGCAATGGTATCTTGTTTTAATTTTTATTTTCCCAATTATTAGTGTCATTGAACATCTTTTCATGTGGATATTGCTCATAAGAAGCAGTCATACATAGTGGCTAAAAGCTTGGGAGCCAGGTTGCCAGAGGGTGAGTCCTGGTTTTGACATTTACTGGCTGTATGACCTTGAACAAATTACTTCTATAAATTGGAGATTATAATGAAACCCTCGCCAGGTTGTCATGAAGTTAATATATGGAAAGTGCTTATATCAGGGTCTGACACGTTATAAATACTACATGAATCTTAAAGCTGTTCTTACTCTTTATTATTGTTTTTAGTTACTAGTGGGGTTTTCTTTTTCTGCAAAGTACATATTACCTTTTGCCCACTTCTCTTGAGTCATCTTTTTCTAATTTGATTTGTTAGTGTTCTTTATATATTTTGCACACTAATCTTTTTTCCTTAGCTATATTTTCTGTGTAATATTTTCATCTTTTCATCTTATATGCCATGCTCATCATTGCTTTTCATATATCAACAGGAATGTATATCATTATAAACTGACTGTAAATAAAATAATATACTTTGGTATGAATATGAAATACAGTGTGATATACCTTCTCCCTCCTATTGTTAGCTGGTACACATAAACCAGCACAGCGGCTGGTTCCCAACCCCTTCTTCAGTACCAAAATTCAACTTGCTTATTTTTTCTCTTTTTAAAATCATAAAATATAATAGTTAAGACATACAGAGTTAATAGCACCAGATTGAGCAGGCACAAACAGAACCAGCTGGGCATAACTAGGCAGTCTTTAGGCCACATTTGACCATTGGAGGTATTTTTTTATTTGGCCAGTAAAATTTGGCTTATAGTGTTCCAAAAATGTTTAATTTCTAGGTGATTTCACATTTTAAAAAATTCAGCTTTCAGGTCCAGATAGTGGTGCAGTGGTACCACCAATGGACCCATATGAGAAGGGACCAGATTCCCCTGTACATGAAAGGTTGGCTGAGGCTGGGGTTGGATCATGGTGTAAATACCTCTCTCTCCCCTACCCACTCTCTGGCTCGCAAAGGAGACGTTAAATAAACAGATACATGTTTTGTATTTTGGTTATGCCTGTAAAAATGAGGACATCTGACAGTGCTGGCTTGTATGCTCCCTGGGCAACAATGATCTGAAGCTGAGTAGCCACTGATTCCTTTATGCCAAAGACCACTGTCTAGTTTGTCAAAGTCTCCACTGGTCCCTTGTCTCTACATCACTGACCTGAGTGGCAGTTGTCGTTTATCACTGGGTCTGAGCTCCTGTTTCCCTCCCTCCAGACCCACTTTGCTCATTTAGATCATGTGCCTGGACCTTGCAGTCATTTCCGTTTGTATGTTAGCTAACAGGAGGTGAGAGAAAATAGAGCTCTTCCTTCTCTCCCAGCAAGACAAGTACCAGGGGAGAGATTTGTAATTGTTATTATTCAGTGAGGGTACCTTCGTAATTATGATCGTTTCACTGTAAAATTGGTAGTTTAACATTTTTACTCCAATGTTCTTATGTGTCTTGTCATGGTTCAAAGTTGGCAGATGTGGGTAACCAGGCAGAAAACCGTGCTTAAGCACCTTGTAGCCCTGGTGTGTGATAAGTACTAGGCTGTAGACTCATAAACACGACTAAGTTGTTGTTGTTATTTATTTATTTATTAACCAATTCTTTCTCAGACATCAAAAGTCCTAGTCTCCTGTTCTATTAGAATAAACAACAAGAAACTCATAAGAAATTTTCTTTTGCAATTCCAGACTATGCAAATGAGCTAATAGACACAAACTTCACTCTTTGACCATTTCTGTGTTTATTTTTGTCCTTTCATAAAAGCCAATTATTGTCATTAGTGAATCTATTAATGGATCTAAAATATTCTATCATATTACAATTTAATAGTCACATCCTTCTTTTCCCTAATTTTCTCACAATAACATTTCTCCTCCCAAACCCACGCCCATCCTCAAGCTAAACGAAATCCTAGTTGTACTAAGATAAAATAGGGTTACTTCTATTACCCTGGAGCTAGGTAGCTACTAGACCTGACTAGGCAACAGCTGAAGGATGAATAGGCTTTTCCCACTTTCCCCCTACCATCCTAAAGCTCTAAATGGCTGGGAAGCCAAACCGATTCTTGAGAATTCGTTTATGCTATTTTTCACCACCTCTTGGCCTCTTACTACTTTTGGAGTTGATCACCTAATTGAGAAGCTGGACCCTTTACAATATTACTTTACTTCATATTATTAGAGTAGGCTAATTTCTGTAATAAACAGACCCCAAAATATATAATATCAAAAGTTTGAGAGTTATTTTTTTTTCTTGCTCACCTGAGTCATGGTTTAGTAGATATGTGAGGGGGTCCCTCCTCTCAGATGCTTAGGAACCAGAGGTCCATAATTACCTATAGGGATCCCAATTCAGGTTAGTCAAAATATGGAAATTGTATTATTTACAAGGTGGTGTGCTAATTGTAGAAAATACCAACTAGCTTAGTAACTTGGGACTTCCCTGTGTGTATAGTCACTACTTAGGAGTACCCTGCATTCTCCGTGGTTCCCTACTTATATTCCTAGAGCAGTCCCAGGGCTTTGTCATGTGCTCTGATCTTACAGCATGAGTGGATCAGTGCCAATTGTCACTAAGGCCATGGCGGGTGGCTCTATCTCTAGCCAGCTTAATGCTTGTCATTGACAGGGAAGAAGCAGCAGTCAGCACACACTGAGGGGCTGCCAGTCACCTTGGTCTGAAGTTCCTTTTTGGCAAATCATGGTCTTTCACTGTTTTTTTCTCTCATCGTCTGCACTCAGCAAAAGATACTCAGAAATGTCACCCAAACTTCTGGCAACTCTTTTCTTGTTAAACGTTTGACTGATGACTTCGTAAAGCCCCAGACAGTGGGGCAGCTTCTAGACTCTGCACGTTCATTAGTCTCCGTGTCCATTCTGGGTGAGATAAGTAATTCCCAACAAATGGTAAGGCTGTTTGTCTCAGCTGCGGAAGTCTTAGGTGTCTCAGGGTTATGTTTGTTGCTCTCCCTTTCTCAGTTCCAGTTTCTGACCTTGTTCAGATGCCATGTTCTACCTAAATAATTATTTGCAGTGGTATTGGCCTGCCTGTTTAATTATTACTTTCTTGTTTGAAATTTTTTCCCCAATGGTCACCATCTGCCCTTACCAGACCCTTTGTATTTCCTTCAATGCCCACACTCTAGGTATTTGATGACTTGGATCTTAGCACTAAGCTTATAGTATTGGGGGAAGTAAGGGCTCTGCAGAAGGATGGGCACAGGTGGGAGCAAGGTACATGATACTGCATTGTCAGAAAGTCATGATGCATTTTTGCATAGAAAAACAGAAAGATACATCATGACTTTTCTGACAACCCAATAAAAACCAGGCTTTAATGGGGTATTTGTTTGTGGATGTGGAATTAAGGGGTTAAAAGTCCCACAACTTACATAGCTAAAAGGAGTAAAAATTAAAGTTAATCAAAGGTAAGCAGAATGGGGCAGTTATTGAAGTAAGGACTAGGCAAGAACTCCAGGATTCTATACTTGACAGATGAGAGGAAATATTGAGGCGCGTGCTTAAATGCTTAAAGGAAAACTAATAACTTTTTATTAAAACTGATGAGGACATCTCCAGGTCTAACTTTCAGAGCTGAAAAGATGTCAGAAATGCAGACCAGAATCAGCAGCACTTTTTAACCTCCATGAAGGGGAATTCGTCATCTCCCTTAAATCAAATGCAAAGGCATGTGTCTGTGTCTGGAGACAGAGGGACATTTCTGCTTTTAGAATCACAAAAGGGTTCATGATCCATAAATGGGATTACTAAGGGTCAGTGTATCCTGAGAGCAGTTAAAGGCACGAAGGAGATGAAATGACTAGATGAAAGGCCTCCAGAGGGTGAAGGGCGTATCGTAAAAACTGATGTGAAATGAGATGTTGTCGAGAATTAATGTTGCACACCTCTTTACCAAAGTCCGAATGTCAAGCTTAAATGTTCAGATAGGAAATTAGGGCTGTGGAATCCTGTACTGAGGAATTTGAGAGAGCCTTTGTCTCCATGTCAATAACACAAAGTGGAAAAATAAAACCTTAGGTTCACCTTTCACAAGCCTAGTTTTATACTTTCCAAGCTAATGTTCTTCAAGAGTGCAGTCTTGCAATAGCATTTTATTTTGATTTTCTGCTATGCCTTGTTCTCCACCTAACCTTTTGTTCTACCTAGAACACTTTTAGTCATCTCCCAATAAAAACCTAGGCTAGTATCCAAAGGCACAATAAACAATGATATTTCTAGTTTTATGAAGGTGCTAATACTGATTTGTGTTCCTGGTAGCAAAACTGCTGAGTTCTTGAGCAGACTGGACACAGAGTTGCCAAACAGAAATGCCTGTCAGATTGTTCTTCCTGACCCGCAGTCCCCAACATTGGTAAGTGGAATGTCCTGCAGGGGGCCATCTGGCACTTTTTAAAGAGGTGTTACATGACTAGAGATGGAGTGACCTATATATGGCATAGAATGCTAGAATGCTATATATGGCAGATGCTTTGATCTAAAATTTTGATCTCAGTTGTCACCTCAATTATAAAATATTGCTCATATTTGTTGCCTACATTAAGGGCATCTAAAAGCCCTTGATTTTCCCCATCCATTTATCCGTTTATCCATCCTTTAAATTTATGTCTATTTAAATCTACTGAGCACATAATTTCTGCCCAAAGGACTTTAGGAAAATGAAGAAGAAAACTTATAGTCACTGAGCAAACTGGTGAGCGTATAGGATATTGCAAATAGAACCACCACTGCCTTATGAAGAAGATGTGTCTAAGTCAGATTCTGTGTGTGTGTGTGTGTGTACACCTGCATGCATATGTGTGTATGTGCATATGTGTGTGCACCTGCATGCATATGTGTGTATGTGCATATGTGTGTGTGCACCTGCATGCATATGTGTGTATGTGCATATGTGTGTGTGTGTGCACCTGCATGCATACATGTGTATGTGCTTCCTGGGAGAGGTAACACTTGAGCTGAAACAATAAAGAGAGTCATTTAAAGTGTCAGACTAAAAAGACACAGAAGAAATAAGGTATAAAGGCAAGAAAAAAGAATGGCCTACATTGGGGAGGAAGAGTTAGCTTCAGTGTAGAAAAATGAGCTCGAAAGCTGGAGAGTATGCAGGAGCTGTGAGGTTCTGTGGCAATTTAGATGGAACAATTCATTGTGCGGGGTGTTTTGGATATTGCAGAATGTTTAGTCTTCCTAGCTCTTAGACACAAAATGCTTGTGAGATCACAGACACCGAGATTTCCAGAAATGCCTCATTCAGGAATCTGGGGTTCTCCTGATAGAAAACCACGGAAGAAATTGATACGCCACATTGGAGAACTTACACCTCATCTTCTGAGTACTGAAGGTACTAAAACATTTTAAGCCAAGAGGGGTCTAAGTCAGATTTATATTTTTGCTGAACAACACTGGTAACCACGTAAAGGACAGATCTAAAGCAACAGAGTGGCAGAGAGGCCTCTAAGGCTTCTGTACTAGACTAGGGAGGAATGATGAAGACTTCATGGATGGCAGGTGAGAGGATGGAGATGGGTATGCTGGTCAGAGAACCACTTGGAAGATGAAAGTGGCAGGACTTCATTATAGATTGGCTAATTGAGAACAAGAAAGTAAATGCAATTAAAGGGAAAGGGTTGCCACTGAAGGAAAAGATGGGCTTAAAGTTTTAAAATGGCTTTTGCAGGATTTGGGCAGGTAAATGCTAAATTGTTACAGAAAGCTGATCTTCATCTCCTCTACCTTTTTCTTATTAGAGACCATGTTTTAAAATGTCAAAAAGATATTATGGCACTCCTTGGGAAAAGGTCATTATACTCCTACCTACAAACCTTTCAGGTGTTTCTTATTTTTTCCCTGCTACTAATGTGATGTTTCAGAGTCTAAATTTGTCAGCGTGGGCTCCATGAGTCATAGCAACCGAAATCCATCATCTCTCTCCCCTCATTGCAGCTCTCT